TACTCCTCTAGGTGCTAAGGCTTCTCAACTGCTGGTTCAGTTGGCCAAGCCTTTTCCTCAGAAGTATACTGTGATACCATTGAGCCTAGCAACCAAGCATTGCAGTCAGCCCACCTTTCCAGCTCTTGTGATGCCTTTCAGTAAAGCCTAACCTATATTTCCTACACATAGTTCAAGTAGGTAGCTGTGTCAGCATGTGTAGGCTGCAAAGGAAGGCCCCACAGCTGAAACGTGTTTCTTTTCTTCTCTTTTCAGCATGGAATAAACCTTTACTTGTTCCTGTATTTCCTACAAGCTTCCTTCACTTACTGAAACCCATAAGCCTGTACACCAGCCCAACTAGTTGCTATTTATAACTCCTTGTGGATAATGCACTATCATTCTTCTCAAGCTGGAGCTTAGACACAGACTGAAACCCTTTACCCCCTGGCTGCTCTCATACACCTCTCCATTAATCAAAGGCAGTGGTCCATTTCACTCAAAACCTATCCCATCAGCTCTTTTCCTCTGGGAGTCAATTATTTACTTAGCACAGGTGTGCCTCGGTTTTATAGGTTTTCCTTATTCATTGGGGTGGCTTTCTTCCGAAGCCATCTCTTACTACTGTACTCTTACTACATGCCATTTTGTGTATAGAATAATACGTTCAAATAATGACCATCCACCCAATTTCTAACCACTTCTTCCATATCAGGGTTGTGGGCAAGCCTGAGCCTATCCTTGCAAGCAATGAGCGCAAGGCAGGGTAAAGTGACGACCAATCCAGCACATTCATCCCATTGCTTTTTAGAAATTGCTGTTTTTGACTTAATGCTGAGTTTTCGTTTCTGTGCTGAAATACTCAGATAAATCCATTGAAGTCATAACCACCTAATATTGTTTCAGTCAAACGTATGCTGCATAAATTACACTGCAGCAAAAGAAGCATCTCATCTGATATTTTAAATTAAACAGGTTAATTTCTGGATATGTGTGCAGCGGAGCTAGTGTGGTGATGTCAGGACCTCAGCTGCCGGGGCTGAGGGAGGTCTTCTTTAGCTCACGTGGTTGGTGCCCTGTTGTGTTACGCCGGAGACCTGGGTTC